GTGTGTGTGTGTGTGTTTTCATGCTGCTCTTACAGCGTTTCCAGACCTCTCAGATGTACTGGGCTGTCATGAGACAGAAATTATTTACAGCTTGGAAGCCTCTTCTGCCAGGTAGCAAGTGGCAGAACAAGAGGAAATGGCCTCAGGTTGCACCAGGAGAGGTTTAGACTGGAGATTAGGCGAAATTTCCTCACTGAAGGGGTGGTCAGACATTGGAAGGGGCTGCCCAGGGTGGAGTCCCCATCCCTGGAAGGGCTCAAAAACGTGTGGATGTGGCATTTGGGGACATGGGTTAGTGGTGCTGGGTTGATGGTCGCACTTGGTGATCTTAGAGGTCTTTTCCAACCTAAACAATTCTACCAAACTACAAATTTTGGGCACTTCAGGGATGGCTCTGCTCCACCCCACACTGGCCCACCTCTCACAGCCCAGCAGTGTGGAAATGATTACAGGGGCACAACGACTTTTCCATGTCCCTAGCAGCACAAAGAAACCCAAAATGTGAATTTAATCCTTTCAGTGGTGCCAGGAGGATGCAGCAGCAGCAGCAGACAGGAAATTTTCAGGATGGTTTCAGTCAAGGAACTTCTCAGGGTGGCTCTAATTCAGAACTCTTCAGGATGGTTTCAGTCAGAAATTTCTCAGGATGGTTTCATTCAAGGAACTTCTCAGGGTGGCTCTAATTCAGAACTCTTCAGGATGGTTTCAGTCAGAAATTTCTCAGGATGGTTCCAAGCAGGAACTTCTCAGGATGGTTCTAACAAGCAGAAATTTCTCAGGATGGTTCTAAACAGGAACTTTTCAGCATGGTTCCAAACAGGAACTTCTAAGGATGGTTCCAAGCAGGAACTTCTCAGGATGGTTCCAAACAGGAACTTTTCAGGATGGTTCCAACAAGCAGAAATTTCTCAGGATGGTTCTAAACAAGAACTTTTTACGATGGTTCCAACAAGCAGGAGTTTCTCAGGATGCTTCCAAGCAGGAACTTTTCAGGATGGTTCCAAAAAGCAGGAACTCTTGAAGGTAGTCCCAATCAGTAACTTCTCTTCCTTCTGTGCAGGTGAGGAGGTGGGGGATTTTCCCTGTGGAGAGGAGCCTCCTGCCAGGCAGTGTGAGAGCGGGACCACGTGCAGGGAGTACTGGCAGGGCCCCAACTATGGCATCACCAACTTTGACAACATCCTCTTCGCCGTGCTCACCGTCTTCCAGTGCATCACCATGGAGGGCTGGACCGACATCCTCTACAACGTGAGTCCTCTGCTGGGGCTGGGGGGGTTTGGTTGGGAAGAGACGGTTTTGGAAGAAAAAAGTCATTTAGTTTGTGTGGTTTTCACCTCCTGGCCCCCTGCTTTTGAGGAGGATGGTTCCTGTCTTCCTGAGGGTCTGTTTCTGGTTGAGTCTGTGGTGCTCAGCTGTGTGTGGGGGCAGTGGGGTGCTGGCAGTGCAGGAGGTGGTGTCACCCCAAGGTGCTGCTGTGCTCTGCTGGGTGAGTCGGAGCAGGTTCTCACAATGCCCCACAGAAAATCCAAATTGTACAAAATTGGGTGGCAAAAGCAGCAGCTCCTTCATATTTTGTACCTGGAGGTTTCCTCTCCTGACTGTGTGATCAAACTTGTAACACTGAGCTCTAGGATTGGTTTTGCTCAGTCCAGTCCAGTTTTACAAAACCCTGTCACCCACCTTCACCCCTGGCATGACTCTGTGGGCTGCAGAGAAGATGCCCCAGACTGAATCCCTCTGCCTCCTGCAAGGCAGGCCCACGACTGGCGCAACCTCTTGGCTGTTCTGTTTTGCTCTTCCCAATTTTACAAAGAGCAGGACAATTTCCCCCAGGCTCTGCTGCCTTCCAGTCAGTGCAATGCTCTCATTTGAGGGTGTAGTTTATGTGGAAAAATCCCTAAGTCAGGCATTACTGATGCCCTCAGCTCATTTCTCTGGCTGGAGGGTTGATGCTGTGCTCAGTTTCTTCATCACAGACTCCAGAGCCAAGCTGGCCCCTTTCAGTCCTTCCTGGGAGGGTTTTTGTAGCAACAGGAAAGGATTATCCTCAGCCACAGTGAATTGCCAGGTACCATTTTGCTGTGTTTGGAGCCAATAAATGTGATTTATTCCCTTCTCCCTTCCTTGCTCAGTTCCTCCATTTATTCCCAGCCTCTGACCACTTAAAGCCATCTCTAGAAAATTTCTCCCCTCCCCCTAAAGCTTCACCACACTACCAGTTTCTCCCCTTCTCATTCAGCATTTCTGCTCCTTCCTCCTGGTGCCAAGTGTTGTAAGAAAAGCCCATTAGCATCCTGGCTGGAATTGATTAATCAATATGTGGTGTATGAGATCATCTTCTCCCAACCTGCCTCTTGTGCCACATGCAAAACCCTGAGCTTCCTATGGGGGTATTGATTTTGGGGGTTGTTTTGATGCTGTTGTAGTTTCATTCTGGATACCCATTAATTTACCCATTAGTTGGGAACAGGTGCCTGGAGCGGCTGCAGGGTTGGATTTGTTGTGCCTGAGACCCCAGCTAAGGGTTTGCTGCTTGGATCTGGCAGATCTGAGGGGCTCTGGATGTTCTCACTCAGGGGAGGCTGAGTGGTTTGTGCTGTGCCATGGGACACTCAGCAGAAGTGATGCCAGGAGCCATCCCTGCCACCTGTCCCTTGTCCCCAAGAGCTGTCAGCCCCTCCCTGTGCTGCTCTGCTTGCTGAGGACCTGGCTGTGCTACTGCAGCTTGGAAACAGAGAGAAGCTGTGGGTGGAGAAGATCACTCTGTGCAGCCCTCAGCCTTTTCACAGCTTCACTCATGTGCTGCTGTCTGGCCGCTTGGTTTTTGGTTTGGTGTCTTCTGTGCCTACTCCAAGTTCATCAAATTGAGAAAAGGAGGCAAAAGCCCAGATTATGCTGCAGCAGTGACTGGGACTCCTGCATGGGGTGTCCGTGGGTGCATTTTCAGGCTGTGCACAGGTAACAGCAGAGAAATCATAGAATTATGGAGTGGTCTGGGTTGGAAGGGATAATCCCATTCCAACCCCTACCCTGTGCAGGGACACCTCCCACTGTCCCAGGCTGCTCCCAGCCCTGTCCAGCCTGGCCTTGGGTACTGCCAGGGATCCAGGGGCAGCCACAGCTGCTCTGGGCACCTGTGCCAGGGTCACCCACCCTCACAGGGTACAACTCCTTCCCAATGTCCCATCTACCTCTGCTCTCTCTCAGTTTGAAATCATTGCCCCTTGTCCTGTCACTCTGCCTATATAAAAAGTCCCTCTCCCTCCTTTTCAGAAGTTCCTTCAGGCCCTGGAAGGGCTCTGAGCTCTCCCTGGAGCTTCTTCTCTCCAGGTGAGCACCTCCAGCCCTTCCAGCCCTGGAGCAGCTCCGTGGCTTCCTCTGGACTCTCTCCAGCAGCTCCAGCTCCTCCTGATGTTGAGGACGCCAGAGCTGGACACAGAACCCCAAGCAGGGTCCCACAAGGGTGGACTAGAGGGGGGAATCACCTCCCTCATCCTGGCCGCTCCTCTGTAGATGGAATCCATCCACCCAGCTCCAGGCAGTTCAGAAACTTCCAGGGATGCTGCTTGGACCAGCCTGATCCCTACTGGGCCCAGACTGGGAAAAATCTGGAAGATGTTTCCCCTTGAATCCAGAACTGGTAAAGTGAACACATGCTGAGACTTAGACAAAGTGGGGGTGTCAGAGGTTATTCCTTGTTATTCCTTGTTCAGGGAGCTCTGATTCACCGAGTTCTCCACTGGGGAGGAAAATGGCTTTTTGGTAGGAAAATTTTATCAGGAGAAATTTCCCTGTCAGCCCCTGGCTCTGGTCTCCTCAAGGTGAGCAGCATTCCCCTGATGCAGGATACTCATCAGAGCTGAGCTGTGGACCTACTTTTAATCTTTTCCTTAATTAAGATTTGCAAAAGGCTGTGGGACCATGGGAGGCAAGATGTGTAAACTGTGATTAAGCATTAGTAAGAAAAAGGCTGGAGCTTCTTCTCCTGCTAACCCGTGAAAGCAGGGAAAACAGTTCTGGTGCACAGTCCTGGTGCCCCCAGCATAATGAGGACATGGAATGGTGGGAGCAAGTTCAGAGGAGAACACAAAGTTGGGAACAGAGCAGCTCCCCTATGGACACAGAAGAAGACACAGAAGAGTTTGTGTGGAGAGCTCAGAGCCCTTCCAGGTCCTAAAGGGGCTCCAGGAGAGCTGGAGAGGGACTGGGGACAGGGGATGGAGGGACAGGACACTGGGAATGGCTTCAGTCTGACACAGAGCAGGGTTAGATGGGATATGGGGAAGGAATTGTTCCTGGCAGGGTGTAAGGCCCTGGCACAGGGTGCCCAGAGCAGCTGTGGCTGCCCCTGGATCCCTGGCAGTGCCCAAGGCCAGGCTGGATGGGGCTTGGAGCAGCCTGAGACAGTGGAAGTTGTCCCTGCACAGGGTAGGGGTTGGACAGGGATGATCTTTAAGGTCTTTTCAACCCAAATCTGTGATTCTATAAAAGCTGCTAATCCTCAGACTGAGCTGAGCCCTTCCTTCAGCCCTTCCCGTGAGTGCCACCAGCACAGGCTGGCCCAGGCTGGGGTAGATTCGTCCCCCTGCTTGTACAAAGCCCTCTCGTGCTGCTGCTGGAGCAGCCATCCCTGCTGGGACCGAAATCCCCGTGCTGCCAGGCAGTCTGGGACTGAGACCCATTAGGGGAAGCTGAGGTTACAACTTCTGCCTTAATGGCCCATTCATTTCCTGCTGCAAAACGTCTGGATTGATTGTCCTGCATCAATAGGGCTCTGCTCTCACTCTCCTCCTCCTGCTGCTCTGTAGCTGGGGGTGCTCAGGGCAGCCAGGGTTGCACTGGGGTGTCAGGGAGCAGACACTGGGTGGGATGTGCTTCACCAGTGCAGCATTAATTGAAATCTGGGAGGGTTTGCTGTGTCTTTGTCTGAGTCCAGGACATCCCTCTGGCTGCCCTGGCTGGCTCCAGACCCTGGCAGGGGTCTTGGAGACCTTGGCAAGAAGTAAAAAACACCTGTGGCTTCCATTTTAGCCCGTGGAAAAAACTGCCAACTTTGTGTGAGGAATTACAAGCCACAAGGGTTTGAGTAGTGTGGTAGTTGAGTTAACATAGGGTGGCAAATTAGAATTTTGGGTTTTTTTAGAATATAACTCAGGAGGTCAAGGTGGAGGAATTTGGGCATGTCCTAGCCTTCTTTCCTTTCTTCTTGTCCTCCATGTCTTGGTGTGATGGTGGCATTTTCTATTTGTTCAAGGTAGAGATTCAGAGTCTAACATAGGCCATAGGTATTGGTAAAGAAATTATAAACATATAATATGTAGTTTTGAGTATATAATGTGGGAGCTGCCCAGGGCTCAGGGCAAATGACCATGGTGGACTTGCTAGCCAGACCTCAGCAGGTCAGAGAAAGAATGTTATAGATAAGGAAAAATAAACCTTGAAAACGCAATCAGACACATTCCAGGCTCCTTCTTTGGCTGCCCGGGCTGGGAAAAGGAATTTCACACTGGTGGGGTCTCACCAACTGACCCTGACATCTGAAAGCAGATGGGTGGCTGAGAAAGCTGGTCTGTGATGGCATCAGGCAAACTGAGGAGTTTGGTGCCAAGGGTGTTCAGGGGAGAGATACTGGGGTTTGATGGCTTGGCTCAGGTCTGACAAAGTGCAGGGTTTGTTGTGAAGGATTATTCAGTCATTTCCAAAGGATTGAGGTGACTTTAGGGGTGGTCCTGATCCAGTTTTCCTACAGATTAAGAAAGTCACAGCATCAAAGGCTTCAGCACAGCCTTTGCAGTTGGAAACCTACCTTGTAAATATTCACTCCTTGTCCTGTGATAAATTGAGGAATTAGGAGAGCAAGAAAAAAGCAAGTTCACAAATCTCAGCCCATTTTTACCATGCTGATCCACTATTTATACTTCCAGAGACTTTTCCTTTTAATTGGGGCCCATGAAAGCTTTCTAGCAAGGCTTTATCCGGGAGCTGATTTATGCTTGAAGTAAAGAGGCTGAATCATCAGTAGGGTGAAATTCTTCAATAATAAGCTGGGGAAAAGAACTTCCTGCCTCAGCAGCACAAAAGCATTGGAACAATGACTCCAACCAAGCTCCTCTGAGAGCTGCAGGCTTGTCTCAGCTGTTCTTGTTTGTACTCAAAAGTGTCCAAGAAGCAACAGGTGATTTAGGAAAGTTGGTGCCGCTGGGGAAGAACATTTTTTTCCAGCAAATGCAGCACCTCCTGCTAATTCC